CACACACACACACACACACACACACACACACTTTCCTCTGTCTTTTTGTGACCAGCAGCCCACTCAGAGCCCAGGATGTCGATGACCCTTTCTGGGGACGAGCCAGAAATCCAGAGGAGCGAGTAACTTTTCACACCAAATGCAGAAAAATTCCCTTTTTTTCTGGTTTCACGTCTTCATCCGGCTCTGCGTCGGTCTCTGGAGGGGGACGAGGAGGAGGCCCGCTGGACGACTCTGAAGGAGGATTTCCTCTCAGTGAGTTTTATTTATTTATTTTATTATTCTTATATTTTTTTTACATTTTGGTTTAAATCAGCTGGAGTTTGGTCCAAACATAAGGCACAGATTATTTATATGTCTGCTTTGTTAGAGTTTGAGCAAACAAACTGATTTCAAAGTGAATCAAAATACAATTAAAAATGCACTTTTGTGTTTTATTGGTCTATTATTTGATATATGAGATGTTTTGTTTGTTTAGATATCCCAAAAGCTTCAGAAAAACATTTCAACAAATCAAAGCTCACAGTTTGACTTTAGATTCTTTAAATTCTGATTAAAAAAGATTTAACCAAGAAGATTTTAAGCTTCTTAGATAAAAGCATAAAAAGTTTAAAACACATTCATGTTTCTGTGTTCTCAGTGATTCAGTTCAGTTATGAATCTAAAAAACTTGAATACAGAAATGCCAGGAAAAGGATGAAAATCAACGATTCTAACACGTAATGTTGCACCTTACATTGATTGTCAGCAATAATGTCTCCTTTGCCGAGTAAATTTTATTTTCCAATTATAAAATGGAAAAACAAAGTTCAACAAAAATACTTTTTTATTAGATGAGGTTCAGTTCCTTTGTCCTAATTTAAAATGGAAATTATGAACAAGAAAATTATTATTATTATTATTATTATTAATAATAATAATAATACAACACAAACAAAAAAGAAATAAAACATTTAAATTGGCAAAGTTTTAGTTGAAGTATTAATTAAAAATGTCTTCAAGATAGTTCCATTTATTTTGCTTTGAAAGATTATCAAATAAGGAAATTAAAAAAAGAGAAATCTTCATTTTTATTTATTTACTTAGTTTATTTTCTTTTTTTGGGGGGGTATTTTGGGTTTATTAAATTTATGAATATTACCTAGAAAACTTAAGAAACACACCTAAGATCGGGATTTTAAAGTCAAACAGATCATCCTCAGCAGATGAGGGTATTTATGTGTTTATCTTGTAAACATGTGTTTGTCTCTAATTATCTCTGGATGATTCTGGATGAGTCACTCTGGGACTCACAGATTGTGTGGAAGCTGCAGCTCATTGATGTGCCTGTCTATTATCCCACAGCCAGCAGTCAATACGTTTCCCATGAATATGCAATCACTTAGTTTCACCCAAACCTCACAAAATGGATTTCAGTGTTAAGAACAGGATTTCAAGGGAGCGTTCTGGACTCAGATACAACGAGAGTTTAGGATGAACTCTGCACTGTGAGGGAATCTGACAGAGAGCCTGAGGACCTACAGCAGTGAGAGACACATTGAGTGGAAGGACACACACATTTTGATGTAGAAACTGTAAAAGAAGTGTAAAGACTGAGCATCAGAAGAGATGGTTTTAAAAAAAGTTGCGTATTTAAACAGCTCAAAATTTGTGACACTATCAGACTTTAATTTAAACCTTCTGTGCTATATTCTACAAATATCACCTAAACCTAATCTGTGATTGTAGAAATCAGTTCAGTCATATAAAGTCTAATGTTGTTTGATCTGTTTCCACTTTAAATGTTTCTGCTCTGAAGTCTGTCTGATATGTGGAGCTCCAAAGATGACATGGATTTTTAACTCGTGTCGCCAAAACCCCTCTGTTGTCTGTTAGAAATGTTAGTTTTCAGCAAATTTTATCTTAGTTGTACACTGATTGTCACATTTTTATGGGTTTTTGTATGGGTTTTTACAAAACTGCATGAGGTGTTTTGAACCTAAAGTAGTGACCACATACAGCGGGTAAAATAAGTATTGAACACGTCACCATTTTTCTCAGTAAATATATTACTAGAGGCGCTAATGACATGAAATTTTCACCAGATGTCGGTAACAACCCAAGTGATCCATACATAYAAAGAAATCAAACCATAAATGTCCAGAAATGAAGTTATTTGTAATAATGTGGAATGGCACAGGGAAAAAGTATTGAACACATGAAGAAAGGGAGGTGTAAAAAGGCATGGAAAGCCAAGACACCAGCTGAACTCTCTCAGTAATTAGAAAACAAGCCTGCCCCTTGTCAGTGCAAGTTAATATCAGCTGGTTCAGTCCCAAATGATGGCCAGGTATCACACAAGAACCATCTGATGATGGGTAAAAGTAAAGAGCTCTCTCAAGACCTTCACAACCTTATTGTTGCAAAGCATAATGATGGCATCGGTTACAGAAGAATGTCTAAACTTCTGAAGGTTCCAGTGAGCACTGTTGGGRCCATAATTCAGAAGTGGAAAGAACATTATTTCACCATAAACCGACTACGACCAGGTGCTCCTCACAAGATTTCTGACAGAGGAGTGAAAAGAATTATCAKAAGAGTTGTCCAAGAGCCAAGGACCACTTGTGGAGAGCTTCAGAAAGACCTGGAATTAGCAGGTACGATTGTTTCAAAGAAAACAATAAGTAATGCACTGAACCACCATGGCCTGTATGCACGCTCACCACGCAAGACTCCACTGCTGAAGAAACAGCATGTTGAAGCTCCTTTAAAGTTTGCTGCACAACATTTAAACAAGCCTGTGTAATACTGGGAGAATATAGTCTGGTCAGATGAGACCAACATTGAACTGTTTGGATGCCAGAATACACATCATGTTTGGAGGTCAAATGGCACTGCACATCAGCCCAAAAACACCATACCAACAGTGAAGTTTGGAGGTGGGAACATCATGGTGTGGGGCTGTTTTTCAGCATATGGTACTGGCAAACTTCAAATAATTGAAGGAAGGATGAGTGGAAAAATGTACAGAGACATTCTTGATAAAAATCTGCTTCCATCTACCAGGATGATGAAGATGAAACGTGGCTGGACATTTCAGCAGGACAATGAGCCCAAACACAAAGTCAAGGAAACTCTCAGTTGGTTTCAGAGAAAGAAACTAAAGCTGCTGGAATGGCCCAGCCAATCACCTGACCTGAATCCAACAGAAAATCTATGGAAAGAACTAAAGATCAGAGTTCATAGAAGAGGTCCACGAAACCTTCAAGATTTGAAGACTGTTTGTGGAAGAATGGGCCAAAATCACACCTGAGCAATGCATGCCACTAGTTTCTCCATACAGGAGGCGTCTTGAAGCTGTCATTGACAACAAAGGCTTTTGTACAAAGGATTAGATAAATTTCAGTAAGTGTGTTCAATACTTTTTCCCTGTGCCATTCCACATTATTACAAATAACTTCATTTCTGGACATTTATGGTTTGATTTCTTTGTATGTATGGATCACTTGGGTTGTTACHGACATCTGGTGAAAATTTCATGTCATTAGCACCTCTAGTAATTTATTTACTGAGAACAATGTTGACGTGTTCAATACTTATTTTACCTGCTGTAAACAGAAGAATCACCATTAGACAGTAATAAAGGTGCAAATACATATTTACTGGCACAAAGAGGAGTGAAATCCATTTTACAACAACCATAAAATTTAAATATAAAACGTTGAGAGGATACTGTAAGTTAACACACATAAAGGTAATCTTTCAAAGATTGGTTTTAGACTTGCAGGCCTGATATCTTCTGCTAGCAGGTCAGATTTAATGCGCTGGTCTTAGCTCTATTTCAACATGTCAGAGTAAAAGATTGAATTTTTGTATCACAGTGTTCAACTGGCAACATTTAAGACAATATTATTCCTTTACTTACATGAAATTCTCGTGTCACATTAATGTGCTGTCACCAAATTCAAACTGGTTTTATTCAAAATAAACCCTAAATCGAATTTAAGCTGCAGAATAAATCAGGAAAAGGAATTCCTTCCAAAATGAGTCAACCACTATTTTAAAAAGACCTCCAGTTCTCACAAAGAAAGTTAACAGGAAATCAGAGCACCTATTTAAGGCCTGAACATCTTGTGAAGATAGAAACACCAACCTACGAACGAGGATTTGGCTATTCGACACGAAAGGCAGAAAAATGCTCGTTTCTGTCGGGGTTTTTTTTTTTTGGTTTTGTTTTGTTTGCAAAAGTGTTAAAGAGGGTAGCAGGAGGTGTGCAGGCTCGATGTGTTCCTGGACGAAGACAAAGATCCATATTAACAAAAACCTATGGATGACAGATGATTAATCGGCACGGTGGGGTCTGCCGAGCCGCTGGACCCCCGGCTGACACCCCGAGCCACCAAACACAAAACCAAAAACCCCCCAGAGCCTCGGCGGCCTGGAGGAGCGTGGGCGAAGGGTGGAAAGAGGGCACCGTCCCCATGGAGCTGTTTGTGCGTTCGAGTGTGTGTGTGTGTGTGTCTGTGTGTGTGTGTGTATAAAACGGGGGGAAAATAAAGATTTTCGTTAACACAATCCGACAGGAAAACGAGCTGGATTGAGTTTGTTTCTTGCAGAGAGAAAGTGCGTGTGGGAGTGTGTTTGTGAGTTTACACGTCAGATTGTGTGTTTCCTGCACGACACGATTCATAGCTGTGTGTGTGTGTGTGTGTGTGTGTGTGTGTGTGTATGATGTGTGTGAGTGTGAAGACAAACCAAACCCCCATCTGCCACAGGGTGGGCGGCTCGCCACACAACAACAATACACACCAACATTTTTGTAACTGTGGGCGTTCAAAAGGCTTCGGAGAGCTGCAGTCCTCCTGCTCGACTCCAGCAGAAGGCTTCTCTCATCAGCACATCAAACACCAGCTGAAATATGTTCAGAGCGCGCTGAAAGTCCAAATCCAAAAAGGTTGATCCCGGAAGGAGCTTCAACATTTACGACACAGACGATGCAAGAAAACAGAAAGACGTGAAACGAACAGAGAACTGCAGAGAAACTGAATTGTTTGTTTTCATAAACCAAAAATTAATGGAGCCCATTTCTGGTTGTGGAGGACCACTGTCCTGCATGTTTTAATGTTTCTCTGCTTCAACACAACAGAGTTGAATGAATGAGAACTTAAAGACCCACTGAGTAGCAGGAAAACAACTAAAACATGCAGGAAAGTGGCCCTCCAGGACCAGAACTGGGCACCGCTGACCAAAGAGGATGTTTAATAAAAAATCCAACC